AAACAGCCCAAATGCCCATCAGTAGACAAGTGGATAAAAAAGCTGTGGTACATTTACACCATAGAATACTATCTATATACTAGAGGCCCAGTGCACAAAAATTTGTGCACGGGGGGTGGGGGGGGTCCCCTCAGCTCGGCCTGTGCCCTCTCGCAGTCTGGGACACCTTGGGGGATGACCACCTGCTGGTTTGGGCCCACTCCCCGGGGGATTGGGCCTAAGCTGGCAATCAGACATCCCTCTGGCAGCCTGGCAGCCCTTGGGGGATGTCCACTTGCCAGCGGGGAGCAGACCTAAGCTGCAGTCGGACATCCTTAGCACTGCTGAGGAGGCAGGAGAGGCTCCCACCACCACTGCTGTACTGGCAGCCATCAGTCTGGATTGTGGCTGAGCAGAGCTCCTTCTGTGGGAGCGCACTGACCACCAGGGGGCAGCTCCTGCATTGAGCGTCTGCCCCCTGGTGGTCAGTGTGTGTCATAGTGACCAGTCATTCCCAGTCTTTCTGCTGTTAGGGTCAGTTTGCATATTACCCTTTTACTATATAGGATAGAGGCCTGGTGCACGGGTGGGGGCCTGATGGTTTGCCCTGAAGGGTGTCCCGGATTAGGGTGGGGGTCCTGCTGGGGTGCCGGGCCAGCATGGGTGAGGGGCTGATGGCTGTTTGCAGGTGGTCACACCCCCTTCAGGGTGGGGGTCCCCACTGGGGTGCCTGGCCAGTCTGGGTGAAGGGCTGAGGGCCATTTTCAGCCTGGCCAAGCCTCCCCAGCGACAGAAGCTCCCAGCCTCTCCTTTTTTCTTTTTTTTTTCCTGGGATTTATTTACCTGCTATAATTGAAACTTTGTAGCCTGGGGCCAGAGCTTGGCTTCCTCCATCGCCAGGGGCAACCCAAGTCTCCAGCTCTGAGGCCGGCTGGCTGAAAGCAGGTTTCTGGGTTTGTTTAGCTTCTATAATTGCAACATTGTTGCTTAGACTGGAGCTCAGAGCTGGGCCCTGACAGGCGGGGAACCTTGGCTTCCTCCATCACTGGAGCAAGCAAACCTCCTGCTTGCTTCAGCTGTGTGGCTGCCGACCGCCATCTTGGTTGGGTTAATTTGCACATCCTGCTGATTAGCCAATGGGAAGTGTAGCGGAGGTATGGTTAATTACCATCTTTGTCTATTATTAGGTAAGATATAAAAGCCTAAGCAACCATCACTATGACACACACTGACCACCATGGGGAAGATGCTCAATGCAGGAGCTGCCCCCTGGTGGTCAGTGGGCTCCTGCGATCCTCCTCCACCCTTTCCACAGGCCAGCCCTGATGGGCCCCAATCGGCATCCAGGCTGAGGGACACCACCCATGCACGAATTCGTGCACCGGTCCTCTAGTCCTATATAATAAAAGCCTATCATGCTAAGTGTCTAGTCAGCCATTCATCCAATCAAAGCGTAATATGCTAATGATACGCTAAGACTGCTCAACCGCTCGCTATGACATGCACTGACCACCGGGGGCAGTCGACTGGTCGACTAGTCACTATGACGTGCACTGACCACTGGTGGGCAGACACTCTGACCGGTAGGTTAGCTTGCTGCTGGGGTCCGGCCAATCAGGACTGAGTGAGATGGGCCAAACACGCCCTGGAGCCCTTCTACAGTCCCTCTCAAGCTGGCCAACCTACCGCGTCCCTCCCCAGCCCTGACTGTGCACCGGCAGGGTCCCTCGGCCTGGCCTGTGCCCTCTCACAATCTGGGCTGAGGGACCTCCCTCCCCCCCGAGTGCACAAATTTCATGCACCAGGCCTCTAGTGTAGCAATAAAAAAGAAGGACCTCTTTGAGATAGCATGAAGGGAACTGGAGAATATTATGCTAAGTGAAATGAGCCAGTCAAAGAAAGACAAGTATCACATGATCTCACTCATATGTGGAATCTAATGCACAAAATAAACTGATGAACAAAACAGATCCAGAGACATAGAAGCATGGCCCAGATTGACAAATCTCAGAGGAAGTGGGGAGAGGGAGCAGGAAGAGTTTAACCAAAGAACTTACATGCATAATCCATGGACACAGACAATAGTGAGATAAAGTCATGGCGGGTGGGGGTGAGGTGCAGGGAGGAGGTAGAAAAAGGGGGATATCTGTAATACTTTCAACAATAGAGATAAACTTAAAATGAAAAATACAACTGTAACTTCTTTTTTGGATATATATCTAAAAGAACTGAAAGACATATTTATAGACCCCTGTTCATAGCAGCATTATTCACAATAAACAAAAGATAGAAACCACCCAAATGAATGAACCTTGAAGACATTAGCTAAGTGGGATAAGTCAGCTGATTCCACTCATATGAAGTATTTAAGGTACCATATTTTTCTGTGTATAAGATGCCCCCCACTTTTCCAACCCAAAAATAAGAAATCGATATTTTAAACATTTTGCTGATTTTCCTCTTAAGGCCTTTTTTTTTGGCATCTTAAGGAGTTGTTCAACCTGTTTTCTCACTGTCTGATCATACACTCAGTGGGAGGAGGTCCAAATTATCGGTCTGCAGCTCTATTTCCATGCTCTTTTGCATAGCTGGTTACATTCAGTGTGAATTTTGCAGAGTAAGACAATTGCTTAATATTTATCTTTTTATCTTTTTGACATCTTTATGGGCTCAGAATGCTCCGGTCCCTGTTGCATCTGTGCACTCTCCACCTCCCCATCCAATTACAGCGTTAGCTGACATCAATAACAATAAGGCTCGTGACTGGAGGAAGCCTGTTTGAGAAGGTATGGGCAGCTACACACCTGCCCGCACCCACCCAACTCCCTCAACTGACTTCCGTGTAGAAGATGCTCCTCAATTTTCAGTCTAACGATTTTAGAAAAAAAAGTGTGTTCTACATGGCAAAATACAGTAGTCAAATTCAAAGACAGAAAGTAGAATGGTAGATACAAGAGATTGGGGTAGGTACAGAGGTTTGATAATGAAGCTCTGTGGATAGATGGTGTGTGAACAATGTGAACCTATATAATGCAAATTGGTTAAAATGATAAATTTTATATTTTATAATTTTTAAAAGGAATAAAGAACAAAGAACATGACCTGTGTTTAAATATAAATAAACATTGTTTAAAACAAAAATAAAGTTTTATTGTGTTGAAAGATGTCAAAATACATAAAGGGTTTTTAAAATATCAACTAAAAGGAATAAAATATATATAATAGCATGTCAGTTGGGAATTAGAGTTGTTCTAGTTACTATGTCTGCATAATAAATAACTCCATAACTTGACTGTGGAGAACAACCATTATGTTCATAGATACTATGGAACAGGAATTTGGCAGGACACAGTAGGAATGGCTTATCTCTGTCCCATAAAGTCTGGGGCCTAGAATCATCTGAAAGCTTGCTTACTCACATGACCGACATTTGGGACTGGGTTGTAGGGCTGAAGGACTATTTCTGTCTATGTATTTCTCTCTGTAAGTGGGGCTAGTTTGGGCTTCCTCATAGCATGGTGTGTGGGATCCAAAGGAGTAGAGGGGGAGGGGATGGTCATATCCTAAGAGAAAATTGAGAGAACCAAACAGAAGCCATATAGCCTTTTATGAGCTAACCTTGGGAAGTCACAGAGTATTACATATGCCACATTCTGTAATAAATGATATGACATAATATGTAAAAACAACCTCCCTGAAGGGGTGGGGAAAAAAGATGCTGACCTAAGATCATATATATTACTTTACTCTGTCAGTTGAGATGGTCTTGAAGCAACAACATCCCAGGAGTGACAGCACACCTAGCATTCAGATCTTGGTTCCTAGTACAATTCTCCAATAAAAGGAACCTTGGCTCTTTGAGAAATCACTGATTCTAGCATAGGGGCAGGAAATATATAAGACTAGAGGCCCAATGCACAAAATTCAAGCAAGGGTAGGCCCTCACAGCTGCCCCAGCTGCTACCTCAGCCCTCGCAGCCACCCTTGCTTCATCCAGAGGTTGTCTGGATGGTCATTCTGCTATTCGGTCTAATTAGCATATTAGCTCTTTATAGGATGAGCTTGGAGAATATTGTAGTTCTAGAAGGTAAGAAAGTACACAAAAACAACAAAAACAAAAATGAGGCATATCAAAGAGGCATAGAAGCCAAGGAAATAACTTCTAATAGCAAATGCTGGAACAAGTTGAGTCACAAAATTAATAAAATAGCATTAGATTACAAGCCAAAGTATAAAATAAGGTCCTACCTCAAAAACTAGAAAAAGAGCAAAATAAAAAGAGAAGGAAAAAAATAAGAGCAGAAATCAATGAAACTGAAAACATGAAAAGAATATGAAAAATTACCGAAAGAAGCTAATTCTTTGAAAAAGTGAATAAAGATGATAGACCTCTAGCAAAATTGACAAAGATAAAAAGACAAGACACAAATGACCAATATACAGGATTAAATAGTGTTTATCACAATAGATCCTGCAGCCATTAAAAGGACTATACGGGCCCTAACCGGTTTGGCTCAGTGGATAGAGCATTGGCCTGCGGACTCAAGGGTCCCAGGTTCGATTCCGGTCAAGGGCATGTGCCTTGGTTGCGGGCACATCCCCAGTGGGGGGGTGCAGGAGGCAGCTGATCGATGTTTCTAACTCTCTATCCCTCTCCCTTCCTCTCTGTAAAAAACCAATAAAATATATTTAAAAAAAAAAAAAAAAAAAAGGACTATACGGAAATACTAGGCTTATAAATTGAAAAACTTAGAAGAAATGAAGTAATTCCTCAAAACCCACAATTATCAAAATTCTGTCAAGACTAAATAACCTAAATAGTCCTATAACTTAATAAGAATTGAATTTCTAATATAAAGGCTCTTGAAAAAGAAATCTCATAGGTCAGATGATATCATAGAAAATGTTACACCAAACATTCAAAGAATTAAAACTAAGTTTATTCAGTTCCTTCCAGATATCAGAAGAGGGAATAATTTCCAACTTTTTAAATAATATGAACATTACCAACATACCAAAACTATACAAATATAGCATAAAAAAAGAAAACATCATATGAGTATCTCTCATTAACTTATGTGCAAAAACTTCTCAATAAAATTTTAGCAAATCACATCCAACAATGTATAAAAATTAGTAATATGTCATAATTTACATTTATAGGAAAGCACACTCAACAAAAGAATATATTTTTTCAAGTATAAATGAAACATCCATAGATATCCTAGATCAAAAACCAAATTTAAAATTATTGAAATCACGTAGTGTATGTTATTCTATAAAGGAATCAATATTAGAAATTAGTAAAAAAAAGAAAATAGGACAATCAATCCCTAAACACTTGGATTAACACACTCCTAAATAATCAATGGTTTAAAGAGAAAGACTCAAAGTATATGTATGTAAAAATACACAGAAATAAATAAGTGAACAGAAAACACATCAAAATCTGTGCCATGCAGCTATAGCAGTGCCGACAGGGAAATTTATAACACTAAATGAATATACTTGTATTCACTAAGCCCAGTGTTTCCAAGGTTCTTCCACATCATAGCATGTGTCAGCAGCACTTCATTCCTTTTTATGGCTGAATAATAGTCCACTGAGCATATATGCCACATTATTTATCCATTCATCTGTTGATGGCCACCTGTTTCAATTTGGTATTGTGAATAATGCTACTATGAATACTGGGGTGGGTACAAGTATCTGTTTTGGATCCTTATTTTCAATTATTTTAAGTATAAACCTAAGAGTAGAAATGCTGGGTCACATAACAATTCTAGATGTAATTTTTTGAGATAAAAAATATACATATTAATTGTTGCTTTAAAAGAAAAATCTATTTGAAAATTACTAAAGCTATACAGACAGTCCTCGGGTTAACTCAGACAACATACGTCATTTCATGGTCACGTCGCCATCTCCCATTTATTTATATATAAAAAAAAAGTTCTGTCATTTTAACATATGTACATATGTACTTTATGTTTTTTATTATCTATTTACCACAAGGTCAAGAATTGTTGTCTTTCTTTTAAATTTATTTTACTGTTTCACTTCATTACTGCTGTGTATGGGCTCATGTGAGTGATGTAGATGCTTATATAGGTGGGTTCTGACTTACGGTGAAAGACTTACAGTGAAAATCGCATTAAGTCGCGCCCTAGGAACAGATCTCCGATGTAACCCAAGGACCCACTGTATAGTCCCTATAATAATTCTTATTTAGTTAATGTCTCTTACCACATCCTAGTAAGCAATGTTCTTACCACTAAAAGAAATAAATAATCATATAAAACTTATTATTGTTCATGTATTTTTAAAAAACAAACACTAAAATAAACTTGCGAGGGAATAAAAAACTTCATTTCACAATTCTGCCCAAACTGGCCATGACCTTGTCACTCAAGCCAACACATGCACCACCTGCAGCGTTTCTAACTTTTTAAATCTATCTAATGTATTATAGAATCGTACACCTGAAACCTATGTAATTTTATTAACAAATGTCACCCCAATAAATTCAATAAAAGATAAAAATAAACAAACAAATCTAGGCAAATAATACCCATGGGCATGCCACCAACCTGATACGCTGACAGCTTCACTTGGTTCTGTAGGGAACTGCAGAGAGGCTCCTTTCTTTCTTGAAGAAACTCGAACTGACTTTGAATGTGATATCTGGCAGTGAGCCTAAAAGGAATACAACATTAAATCTACACTAATAAGTTACCAATTCCAATTAAACACATTTGTTTTTAAATTGGAAAGAAAAAAAGTATTTAAAAATAATAAACCAGCTGGTAGAGCTGTATACTTAAAATTGATTCAACTTTCAAAAATTAATATATCACATTGGAAAGGTCTCTCAATTCTAAAAGAAATGGATCTGTGTTCATTCCTTGCAACCAAAAGGTTATATATGCTCATTTGTTTGTAGTAAATATTATTTCTAGCATTACATGATTTTTATCTATAACTAGTATTGAACTTTAAATATTTTCTCTTTAATCATTAGTTTCAAAAACTCTATTTAAAGTATTCCATTTTGTAGAGTTAAATCAACCTGTCCCCTTAAGATAGATAATCAATAAAATATTAGTTTCCCCAGACAGCAATAGATGGCTTCGGTTTTCAGAAAACAACCAAATTTGCCAACCTAGATTAGAAACTTCAAAAGTTGCCCACTTTCCTGAAAACCTAATTTAAGTATTATTTTAGAAGTGAAAAATGATTGTGTTATAATTTGATAATTCAAATTCCCCAGCCTCCAATTTCAAATACAGGAAATGTCAAATCAAAATGTTCACAAATACTTCCAAATGTTATAGAAAAATCAATGGGAATATAAGATTCCCTTTTAAAAATAAGACAAACAACTAAAATGTACCTAACTACACTGTGTATTGCTTCCCTCATTAAAATATTAAACCTGGCCTGGCTGGCAAGGCTCAGTGGTTGAGGGTCAACCTACCAACCAGAAGGTCACGGTTCAATTCCCAGCCAGGACACATGCACGAGTTGTGGCTCGATCCCCAGGCAGGCCGTGCAGGAGGCAGCTAATCAATGATTCTCTATCATCAATATTTTTATTGATTTCAGAGAGGGAGAAAGAGATAGAGACATTAAGGATGAGAGAGAATCACTGATTGGCTATCTCCTGCACGAATGGGGATCAAGCCCGCAACCCCGGCCTATGCCCTGATCAGGAATCGAACCGTGACGTCCTGGTTCATAGGTCGATGCTCAACCACTAAGCCAACACGGCCAGGCAATTAAAATATATATTTTTTAAATATATTAAACCTGTACCAGCTTTTCTTTTTGACTTACCTCTCTGCTTGGTGACTGTAGACAATTGTCTTTTATTTTAGGTGTTGAACAAAGCATTGAGTTTGTAGAATTAGTGCTAAAATCATTGGCAAGACCTAAAAAATAGTAAGAAATTTTTAGGAATGAAATACAGTATAAAATCTTTTGGTTACAATTAAAAGTCTTATATGATATAAAGAAGTCTGCTGACTCTTTAAACACAATTAGCTTAAATGAAGTACAGACATCAATTTCAATATTCAAATGTTCCTAGAAGGAATCAAGAGATAAAAAAGACAAGATGTTGAAGAAATATGTGCCAGATTTTTTGGGGCTTATAACAGAAAATACGTTTCCATAATCTGTGTTTATCTCTTTGATTGGCCTATTTTCTTATTCCAATACCTTCTGATGCTGACAAGTATTTAGAAAAGTTGTTGCCATAATTCACCATTTTTTTTAGAAACTGGTACAAATAACCAAACATTAATCCAAGCTCTCCAGTGACCCCAAGAATTCTGCACATTTATTTCTATTACATGAAATACTTTCTTTTGTGTATAATAATTATTTATGCATTTCCAGACTACAGGAATCGACTCTAAATTAAAGATAATGACAATTGTTTTCATTTTTGCCAGTATTATCCTCAGGATACCGGAAGATTCATGAAGAATTGCACATGTATTAAAACTTCCTGGGGAAATATTTTGCAATATTTACATGCTGAAACATATTTGTTGCATCTGACATTGACAAATATGACAAATGTTTATCTTCATCCATCCAGACCCTCAAAGTCCATTTGGAAATGAAGCCTTACTTTGTTCTTCAAAACAGTCTTGTAAGAGTACCAATATGTTCTGGCCTTGCCTCATATTAATGCCAGGTTCCCTAATATGAAGGAAAGAAGGGAAAATGTTAACATATAATTTCCAAAAGATATTTGTTATTTAAGTTGCCATCTACTTTGAAAATTCTCTAGCTCCTTATTATAAGTTGTTAATTTACTTCATGGGGAAAATATCACCTTTACTATCTGAGGACAAAACAAATACTTGACAATCCAAAAGTTCCTAGAAAAACATGTGAAGTAATATGTCATTATCTACACTAATAATTATACTCCTTGATCAGAGAGCCATGTTTGAAGCTATTTTAGGTTATTGCTGTATCAAAACAAGAACATAAACTTTTTTGAACAAATACATTCAGTCCTGAAATGCTTTTTTAATAAGGACTCTACGGTCACAAGTACTAACAGCTCCAAGTAACACTGTCTTCTCTACAAGCTCTCAAATGCACTTTTGATTCAATATCATTAGTCTTAATGGTAGTTTATGAATCAGTATAAATTTTTAATTAAAAGTTCACATAACAGTTGTAAGAAATAATGTAGAAGAGATCCCTTGTTCACTTTGTTTCCCCCAAATTTCAAAAACATTCTGTAAAAGTTTAGTTTACTATCACAACCAGGTTACTGATATTGATACAACGCACCAATCTTAATCAGATTTCTCAAGTTCTACATGTACTTATTTGTGTGTATATAATTAGTTCTATTCAATTATCATATCTGTAGGTTCAGACATCACCACCACAGTCAAGGTACTGAACAGTTCCATCACCACAAATATCCTTCTACTGCCCTTTTACAACAATACCCACCTTTTCTTTTAGTCCCACTGAACTAGCTACATCTTTCTATTGCCACTTAATCCATTCTATTGAATGCTTTCTTTTCCCATGGCTATCACTCATAATTGAGACTGCTTCTTTCTGGTCCATCATTCATCGGGTGAATTTCATTTTTCAAAGCCACTAAGTCATTGCATTGCTTCCATTACTATGTGTCTGTTAATATGAAATAACTAAAATGACTATACTTTGTGGACATAGAAATCATTATTTTAGCTGGAGGTAATATTTTTTTCCCTCATTTAAAAATTCTATGTTATGGGAAGAAAAGTCATCTTAAATTTTATATAAGTTGATTTATAATCACCTGGAGGGCTGGCAAAATCTTCTTCTGTAGCCATTTTTGAGATGATCCTAAAAATAAGTATATCATCAATTTGGTTTCTTTGTTTAAATATATTCAAATACAACTTATCTTCAAAGTAATTTCACCCCCAATCTGAGCATGCCAGAAAATGTTATTCATTTATTCATCAAGCAAGTTATTGTTAACTGCCTATTATAATGCTATGAAGAGGAATTCTTCTCTATTTGTTTCCAACCTTTGCTTGTACTATTTCTTCACCCTCTGATTTACTCCATCCTCTTCCTCCTCTTCCTTCACAACCCCCCGTAACTTTTCCATCATCAAAATCCTAAGTATTTGGGCATCCAATAATTAAAGTTGGTTGACTAACGATATCCACTTATCTCCTTTCCCTGCAGGTAGAGCCCTCTAAAATATTAATAAAGAACTAAAATGGCTTAAAACAACAATGAAAAACAAGACCATCTATGGACACACACATTTAACAACTTATGGAAAATAAATGAAGCATGGTAACTGAAGAAACAAAATGAAAATAGTATTAGCCTAAAGTAAGCTCAGAGAATACTGTCTTTAATAAGGAATGAAGCTGATATTTCCTTCAGTAAGTGAATGGATAAATAAAATATGGATTATCCAGCACTATAAAGAAATGAGCTATCAAGCCCTGAAAAGACATAAAGGAACCTTAAATGCATATTACTAAGTGAAAGAAGCCAGTCTGAAAAGGCTACATCCTGTATGATTCCAAGTATATGCCATTCTGGAAAAAGCAGAATATGGAGACAATAAACAGATCAGTGGTCACCTAGGTATTGGGGGTGGAGGATGAATAGCAAGCACAGAGAATTTATAGGGCAATGAAAATACTCTGAATGATACCATAATAATGGATACATGTCATTCATTAGACATTTGTCCAAACCCATAGAATGTACCATACCAAGAATGAACCCTAATGAAGACCACGGACACTGAGTGATAATGTGTCAATGTAGGTTCATCAATTGTAAAAAAATGTATCACTCTGGTGGGGGTGTTGATCATGGAGGTGGCTATGCATGCGTGGGGGCAAGGGGTACACGGGAAATCTCTCTGTACCTTCCCCTCAAGTTTGCTGTCAACCTAAAAAATATTGTTTTTAAATGGTAAATTTTATTCCCCTTCTCTTCCCCCAATAACCTTTTTTTTATTGTGTAATATATGTGTTCACGGTAAAAAGTACACATTACACCACACTGTCATACAGCTCTTTGTGGACACAATAACGTTATACAAATGGGAGTCAGCCGATGCTGAAGATTTTCTTTAAAAAAAAGGGGGAAATAAAGTAAAAACACAAATCTAGGATAGGGGGTGACATGGGTTGTGTAATATACGGACACCATAAGCGAAGTCTGAAATACAGAACAGTGACTACCGAGGTAGTTCAGAAACATGTCAACAAAAAAGCGAGGTTCCCTCGGGTCCTTAGCTTGCACTTTCCCACAGCTGCCCCTCAGAAAGCATCCTCGCTACCAAGATTCGCCATAAACCGTCTGCTTCTTCAGATCAGCATGCCTGAAACCCAGCGCACTCTGAAGGCAGGTCTAGTTTCATGGGCAGAAAATTACTTAGAGGACGAGGAGCCGGAAGTTAGGCTAAAAGGCAGAAATCCCACGATTCCCTGCAGAGGAAGATGTCACCAGGGCCGCAATGACAAGAAACCTCGACAGATCAATGCACTAACTACGGCTCTGAGCACCCACTGCAGATCGCAAGCGTTCCGCGCGGCTTTCCCACCGACATCCCCAAGAAGTCACAGACTCGGCCGCGAGAGCCGGGTGGCCGGGACCCGCACTCACCAGCCCCGATGCAGCCATGTTCAGGCCGGCTCCGCTCGCGCAGGGAGTGGAGGGCGAGAGCCCACTCGGGCCCGACTCGAGGAAGCCCGGCGCTGAAACAGGCCGGAGAGAAGCCGCTGGCGGCGGACCGAACCGGAGGCGGCGGTGCTAGGGGAGGCGGCCGGGGCGAAGGGGCCCCGCACCCATTGGCTCTGACGCTCACAAACACAGGAGCCTGGCGGTCTCCGCAGTTTGAAATGAGCTGCACATGCGCAAAACGGGCCGCACGACCCATAGGCGGAAAGCCGTTATAGGCCTGCCCCCTCATTGGGCCCGCCCACAGTCCCGTCCTCTCAGCCCCGCCCTATCTTCCCCGTAGCCCCGCCCCTTCCTCCCGTAGGCCCGTCCTCTCAGCCCCGCCCTATCTTCCCCGTAGCCCCGCCCTTTCCCCTGTAGGCCCGTCCTCCCTCCCCTTACGCGGAGGCTGGGCAGAAAGCTGGGCGTTTACTTGGCTGGGGGGCGCTGGGAACCGCCTCTGCTTCTTGAGTGCAGTGTAAAACTTTTCAGTGATTCTATTATAGAGTAAAAAGTAATACTTTTATTTTTTGTTAAATGAGGGTAATATTTTCATGATGCATTGCCAGCAAATTGTCATGTGAAGCCTTGAAACCTGCTCAGCTTAGTCAGCTGTGTCATCCAACACAAACTGTGGCACCGTTCTGGGTGTTTTCTTTTCTTTACTTTTTAATATATTTTTATTGATTTTAGAGAGGAAAGGAGAGGGATAGAGATAGAAACATGAGAGAGAATCATTATCGGCTGCCGGCTGCACGCCCCCTACTGGGGATCGAGCCCACAACCCAGGCATGTGCCCTTGGCCAGAATCAAACCTGGGAACTTTCAGTCCGCAGGCCATCGCTCTATCCACTGAGCCAAACAGGCTAGGGCAGTGGTTCTCAATCTTCCTAATGCCTCCACCCTTTAATACAGTTCCTCATGTTGTGGTGACCCCCAACCATAAAATTATTTTTGTTGCTACTTCATAACTGTAATTTTGCTACTGTTATGAATCGTAATGTAAATATCTGATATGCAGGATGTATTTTCATTGTTACAAATTGAACATAATTAAAGCATCGTGATTAATCACAAAAACAATATGTAATTATATATGTGTTTTCCGACGGTCTTAGGCGACCCCTGTGAGAGGGTCGTTCGACCCCCAAAGGGGTCGTGACCCACAGGTTGAGAACCGCTGAGCTAGGGCCTGGATTTTTGTTTGTTTGTTTGTTTGTTTTTTAATTTTGTTTTATTGCTTAAAGTATTACAAATAGTATATATGTCTCCTTCCCGCCCCCCCTTGACATTCACCACGTGGGGCTCCCCTACCCCCCAGTGTCTTGTGTCCATTGGTTATGC